TAATGTAATTAACTTTTCGGGTTGTTCACATATAGGTAACTATCTTTTTTTTGTACACATCTAGGTAATAAACTTTTTGGAACTGTTCACATTTGATCATTATGACCTGCTGTAGCAGGTTACATCCAGCTACAGCAGGTCATAATGGTTATATATGAACAGTTTCATCAAGTTCATTACCTACATGTGTACAAAAAAAAAAATAGTTACCTAAATATGAACAAAACCAAAAGTAAGAGTAAATTACATGAATGATATGGTTTGGGGGAATTTGTGCATTTGGTCCCTAACTTTTTTTTTTTTTTTAACTCGGATGGTCCTTATTGTTTATTTTTGTTGCGCGCTTAGTCTCTATCTTACCTAAAAAGACTATTATGCCCTTATTAATTTATTTTTTAATTAATTTTCTTATTTATGTTTTTTAATATGTTTAAAAAAATTAATAGACCATACATATCTATATCTCCTCACTATAAACCTGAAACCACATTTGAAAATTTTAATTTGGGTCCCACCGGTCACCATCTCATCTCGCATCCTCTTCAACCTCTATTTTCTTTCAATCTTTAGTGACATGAAAGTATTCACCATTCTTTTTTTTGGCCCTTCAACTCTGGCGAACAAACACCATGATCCACTGTCTCTTCACTTTATTGGGTTGTGGTGTTGGTTCGCTGGAGTTAAGGACCGAAAAAGAATAGATGGTGAAGACTTCGTTGTCATTAAAGATGAAAAAGAAATAGAAGTTGAAGATGATGAAAGATGGGATGGTGAGGAGATACAGATATGTGAGGTCTATTAGTTTTTTTAAACATATAAAAAATACATAAATAAAAAATTAATTAAAAAAAATTAAATTAATAAGGACACACTAGTCTTTTTAGGTAATACATGGACCAAACGCAACAAAACAAAACAGTAAATACCATCCGAATTAAAAAAATAAGTTAGGGACCAAACGCATAAATTCCCCCAAACCACAGGGATCATTCGTGTAATTTACTCTTACTTTTGGTTTTGTTCATATTTCGGTAACTATTTTTTTTTGTACACATCTAGGTAACGAACTTGTTGAAAGTGTTCACATGTAACCATTATGACCTACTGTAGCCGGATGTAACTTGCTACAGCAGGTCATAATGATCATATGTGAACAGTTTCAAAAAGTTTGTTATCTAGATGTCTACAAAAAAAAAAAAAAACAAAATTACCTACATATAAACAAAACCGAAAAATTAATTACCTTAATTAGTCTTATTCCTAAAAAATAAAATAAACAATCCTTCGTTCCTACAAGAGGATGTGAATTGTGAGATTTGAGAGTTGAATGTCGTGTATTTATACTTGACCTTGACAACTCGTGCAACTTTTCCTTTTGTATACAGCTTTTTCATTTTGATAGTACACCTTATGCATGCATCTACGCTAGATTGTTAGCTGTTTATTCTCCTTTTAATTATCTTTTTTCTTTTAAATGCAACATTGACATGATAATATAAAGAGTTACTTTTAACTTTCGTTTCGATTATAATGCATGTCACGGAGGGTTGAACATGGTACTGTATCAGTTGATTTTTACTCAAATCGTGTACCATACCAACTATAGTTGGTATAAACTTTTTGCTACCAGTATCGTACCAACTATACTTGGTACCAACTTGTTTGGCTACCAACAAGTTTGGTTGGTACAAATTGGTAATGGTATATTACCAACTTTGTTCTAACTTTCAATTGTATAAGTTAAAGACTAGTAACGTTACGGGACACTTTTCTGTTCTAGTAATATAAATTAGTAAATTAACTATTCTAGTTATTAAAAAAAAATTAATAAGTAACTTTTCAGTTTTTTAATCTAATGTGGTAATAACTATTGACTAAATCTAATGTTTAATATCATACTTTTCAAAATCATAAACAGTAAACACTTGATATTTAAAAATACGATATATATATATATATATATATATATATATATATATATATATATATATATATATATATATATATATATATATATATATATATATATATATATATATATATGAAGTGGTTAGTACGGTAATACCGCGGTATTTAAAATTTAATACCATTACCGTACCAAGTTTACTGAATTGGTACGGTACTACCAACCAAACATATTGGCTACCAAATATATTGGTAACCAACTTTTTTGGTTCGGTTGGTAACATATTGGTTGGTTCTTCATGGTACATATTTGATAGTCCTAAATTGTCACGTACCTTCATGTGGTTTGAACTTTGCTTTGACTTTTGCCACACAAGCATGGTTTTTTACTCACAGGTGCTCTAATAATAAGAATCCCTAAACACTTATTTTATAGAAATGCAATCTATAATTAACTATTTATAATAAGTTTTTTCGAAAAATAATGCAATTTAAAATAATAAAAATATTTCAAAATTCAATTAGGGTGTCTATATGGTAAAACCGAGTGTGTTTTTAGTCAATCCCTTGACTCACATGTAAGAATTATCATAACCGTTAGAGGATTTGGACAATTCAAATCCTGAGATCAATCTGTGGATTTTTCCCCCTTCGGCAACACACCTGCTTCAAACCGATTTAAGGCCCGTGACCAAAAATAAATAAATAACTAGATAAAATGAAGTCTTTACAGTAATTTTTTTCCGTAAATGAGAGTGATTTTTTTAAATGAGATAAATTTATCCTTAAATCATTTTAAAGATAGTATTAACTGTTTGTTTTAAAGACATATTAACTGTTCGTTGTTTTTTTTTTCACTATCATATAACTGTTTTTTAAGCAACATGTTAATATTTTAAACTTATAAAATATTGCTAATGAGAAAGAACAATTAAAGAAAACAAGAATATCTAGATGTTAATTTGTGATATTGAATCATTAATTTTTGAATCATTTTTTAGACTTCAACAACAAGGATTTTATATTAAATTTATAATGTCGAAGTTTCACGTTATCTATCGAAAATCAGAAAGAAAACATAGAATTTAGCTTCTTTTTTTTTTATCAGAAAACTAACATAAAAGAAATGAAGAACAATAACGAAATCTCATAATTTACACAAAGCTGAAATTAGATTAACACTAAGCAGAAATCAGAAACCATAATAATTGAGATTGCCTCAGATTAACACGAATACAAGATCAATTTCTTTTGAAGGATGCATGAAATCAAATTATCGAAATCGATGTATTAAGAAAGATTGAAATAAAAAATCTGAGAAGAGAAATCATAAGGCTATATGAAAAAATCACAATCGATTTATTATGAGTGGATTATTTTGTTGTCGTTGATAAAATCGTAATTGATTAATCGAGCATTTCGATTGATTGTAGTAAGGGACCCAATGTGATGATTATTCCGGAAGAATTGAATGTCCTTTAGTCTTCTCTCTTGATTTTGTTTTGGCTCAAAATTCTTTTTGTTTTGGCTCAAAATTCTTTCTGTTTTGGCTCAAAATCGATTTATCATATTTTTTTTTGTTCTAACATAATAAGAAATTTAAAGTTGGGTCTTTAAAAGTTTAAAGGCCTGCGCCGTCACCCAAACTGCCCATCCTATTGGTACGACCCTAGACGATAGTGGGTTTTTTTAGCTCATTATTGATTAGTGATCATGGTTGTTTCTTTTAGCAAATGAGTTTCTCTGGAATCCATTTGCACCTTATATGGGGTCAAATTAATATAAAAAACATGTTCTTCTAAAAAAACTAAATTAAATTTATAGGTAAAACATATCAAAACATTTGTTGGTAATTTTGGGTATACACGAATATATCCAACCTGATTTATCTGATCCAAATACCTGAAATGCATTAAAGGTTGGATAGTGGTTATTATTATTAAAAAGAAAACTCGAACTAGTTGAAATCCAAAAATTATAAGTGATCAAGACCCCTAATTTAAAGTACAAATAAGAGAAATGAAAGAAAGTGGGAGCAGAGATATACAACGGCAATAGATGGAGCTGTGGATGGAGAGGAGGGTCAAAGATGGTAAATAGAGATTTTAGGAGATGAAAAAGAAAATTAGATCAAATTTGCTTTAATACCATGATATAATTAATGTCTATATTCCTATTATTTCAAAAATGAACATATACAACACATATATACATATCGAGATGGGCATGGTCGAAAACTAAGGTGTTGTTTGTTTTTTTGAAGCCAAAATGTCTGCAATCTGCAGACCATATCTGCAAGTCTCTGCAGCAGAAGAGGTGGACCAAATGTCTGCAGCATGCAATAAGAACACTGTTTGTTTTTAACGTCTGTAGCTGTTGAAATAAATTAATTTTTTAAACTTAATTTCATGTCATAAAAATTAAAAATGCATTTTCAGCAAAAAGAGAAAGAAAAAAAAAACGGATGGTCTTTTTTTTTTTGGGTTAAAATGAGGTCTGAAGACCTTTGAAGACAGCACTCATGTCTGCGCCAGAAAGACCTCGCGCAGACCTTTTTTGATTTGCGCACTTTCAAAAAATAAACACTCTGCGAGGGCATATATCTGCGCGTTGTCTGCGCAACGCAGACAAAAGTGGTTACACAGCTCTTCACAAAAAAAACAAACAAACCCTAATACAATGCGCTAACGTAATATACAAGCTAACAACTTGTTCAATCTTTCTTTTTTTTTTTTTTTTTAATAATATGTATTTTGTACAAGTTTTTTCAATAATAATGGTGGGCCTCTTAATTTTTTATTAATAAAGCAGACAAATTATACAAACAATAATAGAATAATATAAATAAAATTGTAGATCCCCATAAATAAGTTGGAAAAGTTCGAGTTTTTAAGTTTTTAAATTGATGAATTAAAATTAGTTTTAGTGAAAAAGCTAATCTAATTTATTTGTCTATTTTTCATATGGAGAAACTTGTTTTCCTAAAACGGGGCATTTGTACGTACAACCTATAGGATACCCGATACCCTTTATATACCACGATTTGGCTAAAACCTCTTCTCTTCAAACATAGATCCTTCCTCTCGTTTCTTTCCATGGGCTTCCTTGTATACCTGTTTATTCTCTTTCTTTTATCCATTTTTATTTCCTTCCTTATAGTTCTACATATATCTCGACAAAAGAATTCTGTCATCCCTATTAATTGGCCACTTCTTGGTTCATTACCGGCTACCATTGTTAATGCCCACCGACTCCATGATTACGCCACCGATATTATGGCATGTAATGATGGTACGTTCGTGTTCAAAAGCCCATTGACAACCAACACGAATAAGCTCTGCACCACAAATCCTTCAGACGTTCATCACATATTGAGCAAGAACTTCTCTAACTATCCACGAGGCCATAGATTTCGTAAGATCTTTGATATCCTTGGAGATGGATTCTCTAATACTGATGGAGACTTATGGCATTTCCATCGTCGAACAATCATGCTTCTCCTGAAGTCCCCTTGTTTTGGTAGTCTCTTAGAAGATGTAATATGGAACAAGGTGGAAAGTGGGTTATTGCCTGTACTAGAATATCTTTCCATGCAAGAGGTGGAGATTGATTTACAGGATGTATTTGAGAGGTTCTCTTTTGATACCATATGCAAATTGCTTTTCGATCACGACCCTAAAAGCATGTCTCTCGATTTTGCTTACATTCCATGCGAGAAGGCTTTATCAGAAATGGCAGAAGTGATGTTTTGGAGGTATATCATGCCTCGAAACGTACGGAAGTTGCAACAACTACTTAGAATAGGGAATGAGAAGAAGTTGAGTGATGCATGGAAAATCCTTGATGAATTTATATACACAATCGTAGCCCAAAAACAAGACGAGTTAAATAAACTGAAATGTGAATTCAAAGATGAAAATTTCAAATTATCTACAGCTCTCCTGAGAGAGTATAAAGATCAAGGTGGAAGTACTGGGAACCCTAACAAGTTTTTGAGGGACGCCTTACTGAATCTGTTGGTTGCAGGAAGAGATACCACCAGCAGCGCCCTCTCTTGGTTCTTTTATCTTCTTGCCAAAAATCCTATGGTGGAAGATAAGATCCAGGAAGAGCTTCACAGAGAACTAGAGAAGGAGATGGGTGAGAAAGATTTTCGTGCAATCGAGTTTGACAAACTAATTTATCTTCATGGTGCATTATCGGAAGCCTTAAGGTTATTCCCTCCTGTTCCTTATCAACACAAAACTCCATTACAACCGGATATCCTTCCAAGCGGCCATCAAGTTGATCGGAAAACCATAATTATCCTATCTTATTATAGCATGGGAAGGATGAAATCCATATGGGGGAGCGATTGCATGGAATTTAAGCCCGAAAGGTGGATTTCAGTGGATGGAAGAATTATACGTCAACCATCTTACATGTTTCCTGCATTTAATGCTGGGCCAAGAAGCTGCTTAGGTAAGAACATGAGTTTCACTCAGCTGAAGATAGTCGCAGCCACAATCATATACCATTACCATGTCGATCTTGTGGAAGGACACCTCGTGGTTCCAAGTAACTCCATTATACTGAAGATGAAGAACGGTTTGAAAGTTACGTTAACTAAAAGAAGTGAAGTAAAAAAGTGAGTGATCAATTGGTTTGTTGTTTGTCGTTTGTGTGTGTAAGTTTATGGTTCTACTCTCTAAATAATAGCTTTGGGACATGTATGTACCAGCGGTTTGCATAAATAGATGGGGATCTCACAGTTGCAATTAACATGGTTTCATTAATTAGGGAATACTATTTAAGCATTGCACTTATGCATTTGTAAATGGTAAGAGAGGGAAAGAAACTCAGACAAGAGGCTTGGTCTAAATTTTTTTTTTACGCCTAGGGCGATAACAAAAAAAAAGCCCTGCAAGAAAAAGATTTATATTAGGTTAACAGAAATGAACTTATTGCCAAAATTTAAACTTAAGTTTCTTATACAAAAATCAAACATGCTAACCAAGTAAACTTACAAATGATTACATTGATCAGACTTGACATTTGAGCAATCAATACAACAAATTATTTTTAGGATGTTTTTGACATGAAGTTTTTAGAGATTTTTGGGATCTATTAACTTTTAGCTTATTTGAAAAAGAGTAAATTAGAAGAATGATCCCTATGGTTTAAGTAATGTGCGTGTTGGGTTAATTCCTAACTTATTTTTTTAATTCGGAAGATCTCTACTGTTTGTTTTGGTTACATGTTTGGTCCCTGTCTTACCTAAAAAAAAAACTATTTTTCTATTAATTTTTTAATTTATTTAAATAAACACTAAGACACATCCCCAACCCCACCCCTCACCTTAACTTACATACCCCATAATTTTTTACTATTTAAATAATAGTCTTTTTAATTAAGACGTGGACCCAACGTCCAGTAGAGACGAAACGCATAACAAAAACAAACAATATAAGACTTTCCAAATTGGAAAAAAAAGTTAAAGACCAAACATACAAATTATCCCAAACCATAGAGACCATTCAAGTAGTAGCTTTTAGCGGTTTTTTTTCTTTTTTTTTTTTTTTTTTTTTTTTTTTTTTTTTCTTTTTTGTTTTTTTTAGCTTTTTAATTAATGGAAAACCTTATTCATAAGTTCTTTTCGTCTATTTTTTTTCTTTCTTTTTTTAGGGAAAAAAAAAATTGACAATTTTACCCTTAACCTTCTTCTTATGTTAGTTTTCGTTTTTTTCTAAATAAAAGGTTTGTGTTTTTTCTTCTTATCATAAATGATATAGAGTTTCCCTGAGTATTAGAAGCTAACAGAAAATTAGGAAATAATGAGATTAACTTCAATCTGATTATAAGAATTTATGTTAGAAATACAATTAATGTTTAATGCTTAATGACTAGGGATGAGCAAAAGGATCGAACCGGTTGGAACTGGGAACCGGCTTCGGCCAAAATCAAGAACCGAACCGGCCCGACGATTCTACCGGTTCCCGGATCCTACTGGTTCTTGTCGTGTCTTCAAATGTTGGAACCGGTCCTCGAAAAATAGCATCATACGGTTCGGGTTTTTGCCGGTTCTACCGGTTTTTGACGGTTCTACCGGTTCCGGTTATATCGGTTCCGGTTCCTACCGGTTCCCGGTTCCAAAAAACCATAAAAGAACGTCTCGGTCCCGGCCCGACCGGTTCTATCAGGTTTCGGTTCCGGTTCCGGTACCGGTTCCGACCGATTCCCCGGTCCATATGCTCATCCCTATTAATGACTGATTTCCTTGTGTACTTTGGTTAAAAATCAAGTGCTTGATTCGTTAACTCTTTAGTTGTTAATGGGGTTGAAGTACTAATATTATAGGAAATTTAGTAATCTAACTCTTATAAACAACCATTTTAATAAAAATAATCAAAAATTCTTTTTTGGAAAAATGACCACATAGTCTGGAATACCATAATCCGGAGTATATAGTTTTGTTTCGGAGTTGCGACTTGGAATACGATATTTTGGAGTATTTATGATTTTGTTCTGGAGTGGGTGCCGGTTGGTAAGGATGAGGTCTGGAACACTCCGTACCTTCCGGACGTAACGACCGTATACTCTAGAGAGCTAGAATTAGGTTTTTTTTTTTTTAAAAAAAATTAATTTTATTTATTTATTATTATTTTTTAAAATATCTTTGTTCCAAATGTGCAATAAATTTTTGTTTTTAATATATTTGAGTGTTCGGTACTTTCCATAAACGTTCCAGAATGATTACGTATACGGGTTTTTGTTTTTCAAGTTTCAGTTTCTAGTGGAGGGCAATGATAACATATCGACGAATGTATGTAGTAACTTGCTTCGGATTACACATGTTTTGGTGTATATATAAGCAATGATATCAACTTCATTGGGTTAGTTACATGGGTTACTTCCAAATCCAAGTTACACACTAGTCAAATCCATTTATCTTTTCAATATCCTGGATCAAATATAGTTATGCAGACTCTTGACAATAGTGATGTTAGATATTTTCTTAGTTTTCTTACTACTATGCATCCAAACATAGTGTTAAAAATGTTATGGAAAGTGGTACTAATCGATTTCCTAGGGAAAATCATTCTGGAAAATGATTCTTCCAGTGTTGAAGTAACCAAATTTATAATTTATTACCTATGGCAACCAAACATGTTCCTTCTTACAATGACCCTATACATGGGGTGATTATAGGTCTAAAGGTAAGGTTGTTATTCATGCTGACCTTAGTGTTGATATTAATGAATATGCGAATGATGAGACAAAACTAATGATGATGCTTGATGATGATAATATAATTCCACATGTAGAGCAAGTTGAACATTTTTAGAGACACTGAATTTGATGGAGATGATTATGAAGATGGAGAAGAGGAAAATGATCCCTTACAACTTCGAAAAGCACAGTAGGAAAGTTTCCTTTTTATTTTTTCAATTATGAAGAAGCACAACTCATTCATTGAGGTATGCCTGAACCTTTACCACTTCCCGAATTAGCTCAACAAAATCGTAAAAGCGCCAAAACTATAATTCCTATATGACGTTATACCAACTCTTCAAAAACAAAGAAGCACTTAAGCTTAATTTATGATTGAAAAGTGTTAGTGAATGCTTCCAATATAAAGTGAAAAAAATCTACAAAAGACAGGTTTGAAGCTATTTGCTATATGGATAACTGTGACTGGAAGATTAGGGAAACAAAACATAACACTACAGATACATTTCAAATGGTTAAACTATCGGAGAAACACAGTTGCTCAAACACACAACTACATCCCCATTACTGACAAGCCAACAAAAATGTATTGGGTCACTTCTTGAAGGGCATATTAGCTGATAGTACAAAAAATATGTTGCAGGGGAAACAGATACAACGAACTTTAAATGACCACCTTTGTATACATATTTCATACTGTCATGCATGTAATGCTAAAATGTATGCTCTAAATCTATTGAGAGGGACCTCTGCATAAAGCTTTCTAATACTACCGTTGTATTGTTACAACTTGGAGTAGAAAAATCCATTAAAGGTTACACATATAAAGACCAGTGATGGAAACAAATTTAAATACTTTTTCATGGCTATTAGTTGCGCGGTAATATATTTTCCGTATATTTTATATACATACTTCTTTATATTTAACGTCCATACACATGCATTCATTTTAATTAGATTATTAATTACTTTTTAGGTTCGACCGTTTCAAAGATGTTTGTGTCCTATTATTGTTATTGATGGCACACACCTTAAAAGGGAAATACTTGGGCACCATGTTCCGAGCAATATACAGGGATGGTAATAACCAAGTCCTCCCTATTTCGTTTCGTGTTGGGAAAATTGAAAATGGAGAGTCATGGATTTGGTTTTCATCAGGACTCAAAGAATGTATTAGGACATGCCATCTTTGGGTATCATACCAGATAAAGCCAATTTAATTGAAATGGCCATTCAAGTTGTGTTCCCGAATGCATATCATGGACTTTGTTGTCGCCATTTGTTGATGAATATAAGAGCGAAGATCGGCAAGCAAGAGAGAACATAGATTTTGTTTTCGTAGGCTGCAAAGGCTTACCGAGAATCCGATTTCAAAGAATGCTTGGGTAGGCTATGTCGTACACTAAACGATGATTGTTAGACACGGCTAGACAAAAACAATAATGAGAGATGGGAAAGGTTGTGTTTCCTTGTGGTTCGGTATAATATTATGACATCAAAGAATGTCGAGTCTGTCAATGCATTATCAAGAGATGCACTGGAACTACCCATAACAATGTGATCGATTTATTTCAAGTAATTATGCAACACTGGTGGTGTAAGCGACATAATGCTGAAGGTAAGTGTTTTCCTTATTGGATTAGTGTCTAAGTCCACAACTATAACTGATATATACTTGACCCAACCCGACATGGTCCATTTAGGTTGCATGGCATCAGAACAATTGGGTAGACCTTTTGTAAGAAGAGGATATTTGTGACATATTAATATATTATAAGTTCTAATATATTAATATGAAATCATATTATTTAATTAATATTGATCAAGAATTAATTTGGAATTAATTTAGTGATCAAAAGAGACTAATTTAATATATCAGGATTGATTGTGTAAATCATTCATTCTTATATATGTGGGCTTATGATCCATGATTCCTTATGTTGGGTTTAACCCATGTGGTGACCCATGGATACTCCATGGAGGTTAAAACCCATGGAGCATAAGGAATGGGTAAAGTCATGAGTTACATGGTGTAACCCTAATAGCCACACTATATAAAGACCCCATTGGTTGGTGAAATTGACACTAGTGTATACACAAGAGGGCATGCCGATTTCTAGAGTCCATGTATCTTTTCTCATGGTTATTCCAAATGTTGGTAATGTTGTGTGAACCATTTGAGGTGTCACACTTAGAGCACTAGGCTCTTGAGCTCCATGGAATCAAGCTACATCAAAAAGGTATGTATTCTATCTAGTTTTGTTATACTAGTACTTATGATTGTATGTGTACCACCTGGTTCCTGGTACGTAAAATTTATCTAAGTATTTGTCATTTTAGCCTTGGACTCGGCGAGTTGTAGGTCCGACTCGCCGTGTAGGGACGCGGTCCAGGGGTACGTTTAAGTTGGCGACTCGGCGAGTCCATATTCTGGACTCGGCGAGTCACCGTTGTTTGATGAAACCCTAAATTTCAAGGGTTTGCACCCTATTTAAACCCTCATTTCCGCCCCAAGCTCGCCCCAATTCACCCGCAGAGCTCCCAACATCGTTTTTGCCCTTTTTCCTTGTGAGATTGAAGTGTTTTGGTGTGTTCATGAAGTTTTTGAGGAGAAAGAAGAGTAGATCAAGAAGAGGAGAAGGAGGCCAAGCATCTTTGTGACATCTCAACGTTTTCCTTGAGGTATAGCTCATTTCCCCTCTGTTTTCAAGCTTGTAGTCCCTAATAGCTTCATGAAAGTCCTTCTTGAGCCATTCCCCAAGCTTGTTTGTGCTTTGTGGGTTGTAATAAGTTGTTAGCCTTTAGATCTAGGCATGATTTATTCCCTGGAGCTTGGATCTACTGCCTTTATGGAGTCATATTGCATGAGAGTCCTAGATCTACCCCTTTTGGTGCACTTTGAGCCCAAAAACCTTCATTGGTGATTATCTACACGTAAAGTTGGAAACTTTACGTGTAAACCAGGCCCTAGGAACCTAGATCTATGAATTGAATGGACTGGATTCAAGCAAAATCACGTGTATAGTTTTTGTATGAGGCAGACTCGGCGAGTCGTCATCTGACTCGGCGAGTTGGGTCGTGAGTCCCCGGGTTGTTCCCCTTTTCGTGGTTGCGAGTTGGAGTAGTGAGTCATAGGGTATGACTCAGTGGGTTGGAAGCCAGACTCACTCATGAAGTCACTCGGCGAGTCATGGCAATCTTCTTGTCTCAAGAACAACTCGACGAGTTGTTCATACAACTCGGCTAGTCACAACTTAGAGTGTTCTTCGGATGAAGGCGAACTCGACGAGTAGGATGAAGGACTAGTGGACTTGGGTATAGAGAAAGGGACTCGGTGAGTTGGCAAGCCAACTCGACGAGTCTGGTCAACTGGCAGTTGACTATGACTTAATTCATGACTTGTTAAGGGTAAATGGACAATTTACCCTGAGGGCGGTTAGCAGTATTTGACTAAGTGTTTGGTGGGAATTACAACCGGAGGATTTCCGGAGCAGTAACAGCAGACAGACCATTCCCACACAGATCATCAGCTACTACGAGGTGAGCTACCTTCCAGTAGCGGTGGGTCTAAGGCCACAATGTCGGCCCACCAGTAGGAGATGTATGATAGATGATTGTCTTTGTGATATCATCTAGGTTTACTACTACCTGATATGTTATATGCTAGCATGATATGTTGTATGTGATAGTAGTAGAGTTCGGTTGTTAGGACCGAAGGGTAGTCAGACACCCCAGATATGTCTGACAGTATATGATGATATGTTTGCATGCTGGCTTTTTACATTATATGCGATAGAGGTAGTAGGAGGGGACTAGTCCCCGAGT